GGGGTACCCATTTTTCCTGAGAGAGCTTATGGGGGCACCAAATTTTCCTTGGAGACCATATGGGGGTGTACCCATTTCCTGAGAGACCATATGGAGGTTCCTATTTGGGCCATTTCCTAAGAGACCATATTGGGGTACCCATTACGTAAGAGCGCATCCGGGGGTACCCATTTTGAAAGAAAGCCTATTGGGCTATACCCATTTCGTAAGCAGGTAGTTTATCCTCCGAGTGTGCCATCCAGCACCCCGATGCAAAAGGATCAGCCCAAGGCAGCTGCTGCCTGTCTACCGTCTTCCCCCGAATAGAACGTACGGAGACTCAAAGTTGGACCAAATACATGGCCCCAGCAAAATTGGGCCTCTAAAATTTTGGAGGCTCAGGACAGGGCGTCTGAGGGGCCAGTAGAGAAGAAAAGTGTCCCATGCAGTGGGGGGACAATGTGACGAACTACTTTCTGCAACTGCGCGGTCTTCTGTGCGAGGCTACGTCGGGGGTTGAAACGGGTAGAGTTGGATGGCCTGGGGAATTGTGTGGATGCCCTTGCTTTATGCGTACTTGTGCTTTCACATCCTTTGGGAAAGAAAGGACGGCTGGCCTGGTCTTGTGACCGTTGGTAGTTGATCGCGCCTTAGCGAGTGTGACGAATAACTGTTGCCATAACTTCTTTCTTGTTCTGCTGTGGGAATGGGGAATTTTTGGCACGATTGTAGCGCAGGAAAATCTTTTTTGAATTTTCAATGAATGACGAGCCCCCGCGGGCTCTTGGAAATTGCTTCGTTCGAAATTTCTTTTTGCAACTAGGAATTAGAATTAGGAATTTAGGCGCGCCTTAATTTCTGTTGCACCGCGCTTCTTGCCTGTGCACGCCATGCCGCGTCAAGATCTGCGCTCTGATTTTTCCGCGCCTTAATCCTTGCGTATAACTGTAATTCTGGTCTTGGCAGGCATGATTACAACTGTAATCCCTTCATTCTTGATATCTTTTGTGGCGCCTCCGTGCGCGCGTACTTCTTCCTCTGTCCTATTGGCCTGAACACATGCATGACTGGATCGATGTGTGGAGTGAGACTACGTCCCCCACGCCGCGGCCTAGTCATGCAATCGTAGGCACTCCCTTCCTCCTCCTTCCCCGTACTCAGACACCATCCCGGGTATCGCGCGCATACGCATGCATGCTATAAATTTCATAAGTGAGATTAACTTACTCTCTAATCATTTTTTTGGAAGTTAGCGCGGTCGAGAGGATCGGCTAACGAGCGAGAGTTGGCAGGTCAATAGAGAGTTGGGCGATCCGACGAGCTGATGCTAGGTGTGCAGGGTTGACGTGGGGCCGCAACGGATTGTGGCACGCTGGCGAACCTGGCTTGCATGCTTGGATCAAGCGGGGTGACAACTTTGTGTGGGTGTGAGGCAACGGACTGCCCGCATCGGGATGATGAGAGAGAGAGAGAGAGAGAGAGAGAGAGAGAGAGAGAGAGAGAGAGAGAGAGAGAGAGAGAGAGAGAGAGAGAG